TGACAGTAATCAATTATTTACGTCACGGTGATTTACTGCGCCAATAATTGAACCGGCCGATTGTTGCCATTGTTTCACTTATTTTTGTAGAAATATGTTTTCATTAAATTCGACTTCATTCTATATTCTGTATTTAGAAGTTTGATTTTGGGGGATTTTGAATTTATCTTCAGAGTCCAAAGTAATATTTGTTGTTCCGCATGAGTGTGTAATAAACAACACATATACCTGGTCAATTCTTGTATAACTATTGACATGCTATTGGCTTGACATATTACCCCCGCCTTGTCTTATTTCATTTTGACTCAGTATTTACACGAAAATACTGTAAAAAACGCAGCTAATGTCGTTTATTCAAATGTATCATCCACTCAGGCACCCTATACGCTTGGTCGACAGACGTATGCAACGGAAGCCACAGTAACTGGCAGGAGATCAGCCTGCTTCGGGAGCTCCGTTATTCAAGCCGATCGAATCCCTAGAAATTGAAACAAGAGTAGGCAGGACAACTGCAGCACAGAGTTCTCGAGTGTGTCGACGTCTATATATACAACGGTTATTGACATAACCCAGCCAGTTCATTATCGTAGATTATCACTGGTACCTAAGAGGGTCGAAGTGAACCGACTAAGGGATGAACCATTATTTCTGTGGGGGTGAAAAGCTGATCTGACAGGATAAAGTTGTGCAATGAATCAATCATCTGTCAAATGAATGGTACAACCCAAACATACTGAAACCGAAAACTTTTCCTATAAGCGTCGTTTTTTTCAGTTTTCAGATCCGAAAAACAAAACGTAAAAAATGAACCGAGAATACCGCAAATAACGAACAACTTTCTGTACTGAGTTCAGGTCAAGGGTTATTTTGATTTGATACTATATCATGGAAGTGTTTGTATATTTGAAAGGAAGCTGTGTTGTATAGATTAAACGAAAGTACAATTGCGTTTCAAATTAAATTGATGCAAATGGTCATGTCGCGTCCATCCAATTATTGTTACAGTCCGTCCAAGGACGCGATATGCATCATGGGAAAGAACACCCGGGTCACACTGGTACTCGCAAATGTTTTCGGATGATTTCGCACACGACTTAAAAAAGTAATGGAAATGCGATGAATTTTTTGCAAAAAAAGAGAACTTTGTCTGATTTTGGAGATCATTCTGATTAAATTGCACCAAAGTCCAAACATTGATACTGGGTGACATGTAAACGACAGTCATTTATAAACACGAGGCCGTGGCGTATGATTTATTATGGTAATTGCTACGTTCAAGCGGCGCTGCTCGTGTCAGACCAATAAATCTAAAGAAACAAAATGGCGGTCGTTGTCGTAATCACCATCAATCATTATATTAATTTACTTACCGGCATCCGTTTTTTTACGACCGTCCGCATGTCTGTGGAAGAAACATTGTTTTGAACGTTTTCCTGTTTTAATAACGTTCACTAATATTTTAACTCTGTAAAACCAGAGCAGATGAACCACAGTTCTAATAAAAGTTCGACAAAAATAGAGGCGTGCATTAGTTCTGCACGTTTTGAACTTATAACCACACGCATGATGTAGTACCAGTAAACTAGTTCATGACGTCATACGCTGTTGTGTTGCACTTATTCACAGTGATAGAGGCCGGTGACTGTGACTTATTCTAGTTTTTTTCTTCTGTTGAAATATGAAATCATTCAGATTTTAGATTCGGGAAGGTGATAGTAACTAATCTTATCAGAAACGTAATGCGTGTACAAGGTAAATACATTTTAGTGTGGGTTGTCACATATGTTTCAGTATGTTCGCAGTGTACTTTTACGGCTGATACATGAGTGAAGCTACAAATATGCGCATGTGCAGTTGTGACCTCTCCACATGTTTTGGACAAATCACATGACCCCAAAGCAAAGCCTGTCAGAGCCTAATTAGCATACACATCTGCGTAGTCTGCCATATGTGTAACAATTATCAACTTTTCTAATTTGGGGCCAAGCTGGGAGCAGACGATGCGTAATATTGAACATGACATGCGCATAAGATCAAGCTCTTTTCAAATCAAACTTGTTCTTACGAAGGCCTTGAGCTACAATATTACCAAGAGTAGTTGTCGGCTAGAACTAATGAATGATCCTTCACAGTGTGGTGTCATGCGAGTTGATAGAAGTCAAACGTCTGAACAGATGTTTATATTCGTAATTCAGTCACTAAAGTGATTGAAACGATGTAGTTAATCACAGTGTATAAACCATCCCGTTTCAACAAAGCAATTTGTAATTTTGTAGTTACCATCGGTCGAATCACTCGCCGTGCTGTAAAGTCAAGTTCTAGATCAGGGACATGACTGGTATGAACTACGTACCTCAAAATAGCATTCACACTTTTCAAACACGTGACACATCACTCCTAAACAAATCAATACGATAAATGAGTAATAATGACACTGTTCCATAATTAAAAACAGTGATAAATTAAAAATAGATACTTTGACCTTACTTGCCCCATTTTGAGGGTACTGGGGGGGGTATTAGAATCTAGCCAATCATACCCACAATGCAACTGACATATATGGACAAACACAGGTACAGGGATTGTATTGTTTACATATCTAACTTAATTTTCAGAGCCTGCTCCTGCAGTTAATTTATAATTGCCAACTCAAAATGTCATCATTTTATTGGGTCAGGGGATAGTATATTAAATTTTGGTTGCAACTTCAACCAGCAATAGCAATGTTGTAAACACACAATTCCGTACTGTTCATTTCCGTACAACCCACCAACCAACTTTAATTAACCGAGTAATAATAGCATTTATCGAGATTAAGTACCACACTCTCGCATCACGTCGCGCATGTGTATCACTATTTCTAATTGGCATACGGGCATCCATTTGTGTTGCATGCCATCCTTTCGGGTATTGTTTTCCATCTCACCTGTTTTAAATGAAACACATCTTGATTAAATTAAAGTTTTCGCTTGAGTCACGCGTGCTCGGCATCCATGATTGGAGTGTGGTACAGGGACTATCGCGGGATGTAAGCGAGACAATATGAAAATGCAGCACACGTGAAAGTTAGGGGAAAGTACGATGGGTGAGTACATCGACGTGGCCACGTGACCGGCGACGCATTAATCATATTGTTTTGATAACAAATTATAATAATTCAACCGTATATCTAGACAATGTGATCAGGACAAGTACGAATATTCAACAAAACAAATGTATTTGACATTCCCAGGTTTCGAACTGTTCGTCATAGCCCTATAAGACATCGACTTTCAACAGTTCCCAATGTTCGCTGGTCGCAGATGTGGTACTATACATGCGAAGTGCCGCAACAGGGACCTTAATTACGCACGCCTTCAGTATGCTAAAGCGCATGGCCCATAATGCAATGTGGCAATGACTTCCGCCCTTGAGACGGACAAGATCAGACCACACGTCACGCCTTCCTTGAACATAAACGAGAACCGTTTGTACGATGCTATCTACATTATAATGCATGGTGTGTGGTATGGTATCCCACAATTACATTTTGAATGCTGTCAGTCATCTAACTGCGCGCACAATGTCAATCATATGAAGTATATTACATCGTGGTTTTTGACTGGACTTTTATTATTTTGCTGTGTATCCCACACTTAGAACTATATATCTGTACTAAGGCAAGAACAGCCACCCCTGGTGTTGAGCATTGCCATGGCGATGTGATCTAATGACAGTTCGTTAGATACGGGAAACATGTATGTTCGTTCCAGCATGGACGTACTAGAGATGTCCACAGAAAGAACTATCCCCATACACCAGGGATTTCAGTAGTTTCGATATTCTCTTGAGCGGGAAGTTGACACTACCGTAAAATGTTGATTTTTCGGTACGTGTTGATTGAGACTATGTTGTTTTTGCCGCATTTACTTGTCCTGATTGAACAACAAAGTCAAAGTCCCCTGTTAGTCTCGTCACATACTCGAGCCTCTCTAGCTGATGAAAAAACTGACTGGTTAAGATAGCTAGGTTTTACATTGGACGGATCAGTTTGTAAGCAAAACACCCCAAAAGTCTTTAGTTCTAGCTAAAATAAAGTATTTTACAGTAGTTTTGGGTGAAGTAAAAGAAGAAGTGGGTACGTAACTGAAGGCACAGTGTTCATAAATAAGTTTAACCTTTGTCACCT